GTGCCATAAACTGAGGAGTTATCTCTCCCGCTCCTTGAATAGGTATTGAGAAAACAGAAACGGACAAACTAGATCAAGTGAACTTAACTTTTTAGTCAACCAAGGTTTTCATAGTTTAAGCTTTAGGCCTTTAAAAAAAAAAATAACTCTGCACATTTTGGCAATTCATTCAAGCCCTCTGAACAAACAAATTTTGCCCTCTGCAAAATGAACCTACTACTCTCTCTATAATATTGTTATTGGTAGGATTAAATTATTTACAGCCTAACAATGCCAGGTTATAATTTTTGAGCACAGGGACCACACCTTTGTATTTCTGGCAACAAGCATATGTCCCTAGCAGGCGGTGCACCTTAGTTTAGGTTTGTTGAATGAGTGTGTATGAGGTGAAGAACATTTTGTGTATAAAATATTAGCCTTGAGCTGAGGGCATATCACTGGTGTGTACTCACCTGGTATGTGTCACACCCAGAGCAATTTACTTAGAAAAGTATTATGCCTACTTGTTTAAATTGTTTAAAACCCAACATAGTACTGGGAAAAGTGGATGAAATATTGCTGAACATAAGCAATGCTACTCTTGGGTGATGTATTTCTGATAGTTCAAGCTATAAAAATACATTCTGTAAACACTCAAAAGATGAAAGGCTCTTCCTATTGATTTGTAGCACAGTCTCGATGCTTCTTAAAGGCCGTTTCCATAAATTGGTCCTGGACATAGCTATGGTAGGTCCTGCCAGGTCTCAGCATAATCACGCTATCTAGGACTGCAAACTATAATTGCATTGTAAAAGTATGCTAAGTTTGGGAAACATTTGGAAGGTCTTCTCAGCCAGTAATAATGTGAAAAGAAATAATTTCATACTGCCAAATTTGCTTAGGGTTTAAAGACATTCTCCCTAAGAGTACTGGTGTTATTGTGAGAGGTAGATGGGACGCAATTATTCTTCAGGCTTCAGGAAAGCGTGCAACTCACTGAACGGCTGTGTGAGGAACAGCTCATTCCTTTAGTGCTCACACTGCAGTGAGTACTAACTTTGCTGAAAGGAGTGATTTTAACAGCAAGCAAGAAAGAAAAGGGAAATGTAAAATATACCCGAAGACAGCTTACATACGCCTTAGGTGAGAAACAAACTGAAAATGTGGGACTTCCAAGGTATGAAAAGTCCTCCAGGTAGGAGCTGAAGTATGAGACAGATTTGGGGCTGGTAACAGGGATGGGAGTTACCTGTAACAGGCAGAGAGGCAGTTGAAAAGTTAGGAGGAATTATAGCAAACAGTTTACAACGCCTGTACTAGTAAGGTCGGGAAAAGAGCTGAAGAGACTTGACCTGGAGTAGTTCGTACCTAATTTGGCGTTGAGCTGATGAAAACTTCTAAAATGGGATGTGGATCATGATTTAACTATTGCTTAGGAGAATATTTCTGTAAGAACAGAAGACAGATTGAAAGAAAAACAACTAAGCAGGAGACCAAGAGTAGAGAACATGCAGCAAGGGTCTGGACTAGAGGTGATCAATACCCAATCAAGGGTGATGTCGATGGAGCTAGAGACAGCTGGCAGATGGGAGTGCTATGGGATAGAAAGTATCTATTCTGGGCTGAGCAATATGGAAGCCTCTAGCCATATGCAGCTATCTAAATATAAAACTAATTAAATTTAAATCGCATTTAAAATACAGCCCCTCACTCACATGGCCACATTTTAAGTATTTAATAGCCACTTGTGGATTATGCAGATAGAGAACAGTGGTAGGTCAGGAGTGAAGACCCAAGACTATAATCCCAGCACTTGGGAGGGTGAGGCCGGAGGTCTGTCCTAAGTTTGGGACTAGCCTGGACTATACAGTAAGTAGCAAGCCTGCCAGAGCTACAAATCAAAACAAAACAAAGGCTAATAATAAATAGAAATAATATTGCCACCAAGGCAGAAGAGTCATTTCCACCTCAGCAGAACGTTCTATTGGACAGTGCAGGTGGAGACTGGCATAAAGAGGTTAAAGGAGACCAAGGCCTGGCCAGGCTTGGCGACTGAGAAAGATGGCATGACTAGCAAACAGGAAGATGGGAGGACCTTACAGATACCTCAAATCTATCAAAGTCTAGGGACATTAAAGTTCCTCCATACATGATTATGCGCTCAGGGGTAAGGAACACAGAATGTTCGGGGAGTCTTCTAAAGCTTTGTACAGGGGCTCCAGTGGTATCTAAGCGGCTCATTCCTTCCTGTGCTCACTATCTCTCAGGATTGTGGCGCTCCAGCTGCTTAGGAGTATGAGGTCCATTCCTCAGCCATACCAGATCAGTGACTTACACACGCTGTGACAAGGGCTGGCTGGAGCCCAAAGGGCTGTTTCTGCAGCTTTTCTGCCAGTATGAACCCTCTTATCTTCATAGACACTTCACACTTCCTCTCCTGATTGCCTCACTTTCATCTGCTTGATCCTTGGAAAGTCCCCTCACCCTCGCTTATTTAATCGCTTCCTCTGAAAATATTCCTTCCCACGGGGCTGGGGGAGGGGTGTCACTGCTTTTTTACTTGGCCTCTTTTCTTTCACAAGTTCCAGAGTCTACCAGCCACTCACACCTGCCTCTCACCTCTCTCTCATTGACTTTCATCAGCAAAACTCCAAGCAATGGAGGGCGCCTTGCTGAGGGTTCTCAAGCTACCTATATGACCACCAACTTAAGAAAGAGTTTAAAAAAAGAAAAAACACACACACACACACACACACACACACACACACACACACCCAGGCCAGATCTGATCTCATCCACCTATCCATCCATCGGCAGGCAACACATAGCGCACTTTGTATAAACAGGGGAAAATATACACAAGGAATGGGTAGACCGTGCATGCTTGCGTGAGTGTGTGCGCTGGTTCAAGGCCAATTCCTTCAGCACTGTGCCAGGGCTCATTGCTTCGGGGTTCCTATAGCTTATCTAGCTGTCTCTTCTTATCTCTACATGGTAACTTTACCTTTCTAAAGGACCATCCTAATACTGTGGGGAAGTATCTTTAAAACACCCTTCTTGGGTCCTGATATCCTTCCCACTGTCGCCCATTTCTCAGTTGCTAGGCTCAGCAGCTCCTCAAGAGCTGTTTTCCTCACCTCTCATTCTCTCAGCACACCCTAATCAGACATTTCGCCATATGATAACACTGAAAGGGGTTTCATTAAGCTCCTCAGCAACCTTCATCGGGCCAAACTTAGTGGTTAAATTCTCAACTCTTGGCTGGAGATGTGCTCAGTGGTGGAGCTTGTCTGGCATGTGCCAATCAGGATGGTGAGGATGGGGACAACGGGACATGGGGGTGGAGACTGAGACTCAGTGAGGCCAAGGCACTGACCAGTCCCTCTTTCCTAAAACAACTCCCTAACAGCTTCCTTCCTTCCCTAACCTGACTGTCAGCTCTGCTCATCTTTAAGCTCTATTTCTGTAGTTTCTCTTGGTCCTGTCTTCTTGCTACTCCCCGTCCCTAAGTGAGTGTATGTGGGTAGACCCGAGGGTCAAATTATCCACATCCTGACGGATCTCAAATTTATATTTCCAGATTCTTACCTCCCCCTATTAATTCAATTCCTCCACGTGGATGGCAAACAAGCAAAATAGAAGTCTTTTTCAAAAATTATTTTATTGTATGTATATGGGTGTTTTGCCTACACCTACATGTGTGCACCACAAGCATGCAGGACCCAGGAAGGTCAGAGGAGAGCTTCAGATCCCCTGGAGCTAGAGTTACAGCTTGTTATTAACAGTTGTGTAGGTGCTGGGAACCCAACCCTTATGCAAGAGAAACAAGTGCTCAGCACCAGGGAGCTTTTCTCCAGCCCCTACAACAGAAATCCTGATTTCTCCAGGGCCAATTTTGCTCTTACCCTGGGCCAGTTTTGCTCTTCTCTCTCATGAAATGACACCAGCCAAGCAGGCCCTGAATCTAAGAATCATTCGTAATCTTTTTTGTTCTGCCCTCTGCCTCCTCAACTCCAAACCAGCACAAACAAAATGGATTTAATAAACCTAAAATAAACAAAATCCAAGATAACCATTTCCCACCTTGCACTTGGCTGCCACTCTTGTCCAAACTCACAAGAACAGCCACCTACTAGACTACCCCTGTGGGCATTTGTGCCTCTATTATGTATTTCACACAAGACTCACTCCAGTTCCTAATGTTCCTGAAATTCACTCTGTAGTCCAGGCTAACCTCAAACTTGAGGCAATCCTCCTGCTCCAGTCTTCAAAACGCTGGATTACAGGAGTGAGCAACCGCACCCTGCTTAATACTAACCTTCAAAAAAATGTGAACTGGATGTAGTTATTTCTGGGTCCACCCTCTCCTCGGGGCTTCCTGTTGCCTTTACAATGACCCACAGGCTCCACAGGGTCTGGCCATTTGTACGTATCTTGGAGTCTCACTACTCTGCTCTTTGGTTATAGACTCTGCTCAACCATCCTTCCACGTGCCTTTTGCCATTCGTGATACATCCCACCTCTGCGTTAAGTCCTGGAGGATTGTTTCTCTCACCCAGCCCCTGGATTTGCTAGGCTTGTTTCTTTATAGCACGAACGAAATGTGTGCAAAGCTCTCCCTGGTGATCTGAGAATTTTGGTACATTTTTTTTTTTTCTGTAGTTCCTGTTCCCTTTCCGAGGTCACTAGTATTAAAGCTCTAGAAAGTGAACTTCCCTGTACATGCCTTAGAACAGCATCAAACACCTATTAGGCACTCAACAAGTAACTGTCAAATGATTGCATCCCCTCAAGATTCTCTTCCGTCTGATTTTTTTTTTTTTGTCCCAACTCATTTCAATTTTAGTCTTAACCACCTGCACAAAGGCGAGGCCCCAATTCCTGCCTGCACACTATTCCTCTGCAGTCCCCAGCCTTTGAAGAGCGTTCGCTTTAAATAGATTCCGGACGCGGCCGGTGAGGCGGGTCCCGGGGCGGGGGAGGCGGGGCTTGCGTGCTGCGTGCGTGCGCGTTCCGGAGGCGCCGCCACCGCCGCTCCCGAGGCCGCTGCCACAGCCGCCGCCGTGCAGAGCCCGAGCCCGAGCCGCGGCCGAGAGGAGGGAGGAGGAGGAGGTGGAGGAGGCGCCGGGCCGCGGGTGAGTACCGGACGCGAGTCGGGGGGCGGGCTGGCCGCGCCTCGGGGGCCGCTGCCCGGCCGTCGGCGAGTCCCGGGCGGCGGCCGGGGGCCTGGCGGACGGGAGGGGCCGCGGCTGGAGGCCGGAGCCAGCC